ACGTTCTTTTGGAGTGACGCCAACTACTCTGAGGCATTTAAATCGTATACGTTTATCTCTTTGTATTAGAGAGGGGGCAATGTAAAATAAGGAACCCTCTTTTTGACAGGTAGTGGGGAGTGGGGTGTATTCTTTCCGTGGAGTGTGGTTCCTGGCTGATATGCACAGCAATTTGACCGTTTTCCTTTGAGGTGAAATTTGCTGGGCCGGCAGTTTGGTATCTATCTACGGAAGGAATGTGCCGGTTAGCGGTTATGCTGTAGCCGGATTATCATGACGTAATTTCTTTTTTTGCAGGGAAATAAAGTAGAACAAACCGAAAATAGCGATCCAGCAATAGCCGTGGGTAAGTCGTTTTTTAGTATTTTTTTTTTCTCAGCCCAAGAAATGAAATCGTCAATGTCGTTTCACTGATATATGTTTTCTAACTTATTTTAATACAGGACCCGTCCGCTTCAGTGGTGTTGACTTCTCTGGCACAGTACAGGTTCAAACGACACATGATGACGATTTCATAGGACTGGTTTTCAGTTACCAAAGTAACAGAAAATTCTACCTCGTCTCATGGAAACAGCAGGATCAGGTTTACTGGGAAATGAATCCATTCAGAGCTAAAGCCGTGCGAGGAATTCAAATCAAGGTAATGCTTTTTGGATGGGATCGGATCTTCGGATTTATGACTTTATTGATTTACCTTTTTTATATATTTATTATTTTTTCTCTCACAGTTGGTTAATTCTGATACCGGCCCTGGACCCGCCCTTAGAAATGCACTATGGAATTCTGGGAACGCCCAAGGACAAGTAAGTAGTGCACGAAGAGAATAAATACAAAGAGTTAGCAAAATAAAAAGCTATTTTGGGTTGTTTGTTAATCACGTGACTCTGCTCTAGGCAGTCATCTCTTTTCAAAGTTGGTCAAATTCACGCTTGTATGACCTCGCTGTTACTTGCAACGTCACGCATGGTGTGACTGCAAGGGTCTTGATCCACTCTTTCCTAGTCCCTGTGCGGCGTCTTTCCAGGCCCTCTCGGTCAGTGCATTTCGGTGACGTAGCTGACGCTTGGACCACGTGACGCGTTCGCCCAATCGGACAAACAGTTGAGAATGTAATAGATTTCTCAAGAATGAAACAAAATACATGTACACCTGGATAGTCCAGGTGCAAGGTCATAATTGTTACCACTTTTCCTCTTTCCAAAGTAGGAGTTCGCTGTTAGAAATGTAATAATAACTTTGTTAACATCGTATCTTTTGAATTGCTGCAGATAAAAGAGATTTGGAGAGATCAAAATTTGATTGGATGGAAGGACAAAACAGATTATGAGTGGACGCTAATGCACAGACCAAGTATTGGATTAATTAGGTAAGACAAAAATGCTTCCTCGATTAAGGGTTCACTCTTCCATAAGCGCCCTCCCTCACATACGCACTACCCATTTGCTCTATCAAGTAAAGAAGTTTCCCCCTTTCCCTAAATTTCTCTTATAGTAGTAGGAAATCGGGAAAATCCTATTTTATGTCTTACTTTTATTTAATTGTGTCATTACAGAAGAGATTTTTTCCTCTGTTAGGCCAGATTAGTTCTAGATGTTCTATACATTTTCTTTTCTTTTACACGATGTTCATTATTTGTGGTCAGCCAAGTGAGGTTTTAAATCGTTTTTTGGCCCTCCTTTAAAGACATGCCCCTCCTTTTTGTCGAAATTTAAAATAGTCACCCGGGTTATTCGAAGAAAAAAGATAAGAAAAATTTTTAATTACGGGAATAACTTCTGGAACATTTTGAAGAGTAAGGCTTTGCCCTTGGAACATGTCCTCAGGTCTTATTTAAATGCCAGTTATTCACAGCTACATTATCAATCTATTTGTGTGCTTTATGTTCTCTGCTCCGTTTTCAGGCTGAAAGTATTTTCTGAGGGAGAGTTAGTGGTAGATACAGGATACATTATTGACAAGACCCTTAAAGGCGGAAAGGTTGGGATGTACGTGTTTTCACAAGCAAAAGTGGTCTGGTCAAACATGTCGTACAAATGTAACGGTAGGTAACAACTTTTTTCGCTACGACCATAGCCATCACAGGCAGCACAATCAGCCATTAATATTTCGTCATTTATATTTCATCCGCTTTCATCTTTACTTTCATCCCACTATCATCAAAAACCACCACCAACACTATCACCATAGCTATCACCACCACCATCATCATTCCCATTGGCCGTTTTTATGCTAGCCTGCGCCACCGACAGAATTACACTTGCGCCGAAATCCTCTTTCTGGGCCCAACCTTTGTACCAGGATTTGAGTACGCGCCATGATTGGCCTGTTAAAAAATCCTTTGCCAATCAGTTTGAAGGAAAATTCGAAACGCACTTCTGGTAATTCGTTGAGTCCGTTGGGGGCTCCGGCTGAGATCAAGAATATCGGCGCCACTTCGCAGACGTTACTAACAGGGGTTAGATGACGTCTACAACGCAGGCTATTTTGCGACAGAAGACAGTCGCGTTTAACGTCTCAGACAAATGTGTCTTGCATTAAAACGAAACGCCTTAAACTAGGACGCATTTAGCTGAAAAACGGCCATTACCATCACTGCCATCACCATCATCATCATCATTATCATCATCATCATCATCATCATCATCATCATCACAATCATCATCACCATTACCACACTGAGGCCTCCTATGGCTGATTTTCATTTTTTCTTCTTTCCTCTTAACAGAACAAGTTCCGGACGACTACGAAGCTCTTTAATGAAAACCATCTGGAGGAACTGCAACATTACGGTGTTGAAACATGGCGATAGCCAGCTTGGAGTCCTAAATGTGAATCTTTCATGCTCATATCAACGAAGTGAAACAATGAATATTACTCATGACTTTAAAAAGTTGTGACATTAAAACTAGCAGTTAGTATTCTCGCTACGTTATCAATAGCAATTTGTGAGAACTAAAAGCCAATTTTCTAGTTTGTTCCATGAGAGATTCTGTGTTTTTACAAAACCAATTAGCGTAAATTATGTTCTACACGGCATTGCGTGCACGTAAACAGCCGAGAATTACAAGAAGAGAATAAACTAGAGATACACAACATCCAATGCATAACTGGAGAAAGTCTGGATAACAGGCAACGTAGCACTCCTCGCCTGTCATTCAAGTCCTTCCAAGACGTTGCAGCCTTTCTGTGGATGGCGCAATACAGCTGCAAGCAGGAGCCGATTGCTCCTGCTGCAAGTTATTCGACGAAATGCGGCTGCTGAAATATGTTCCAAGACTTAAAAGGAAACAGGCCAGCTCTCTTGGCTGTTAAATAACAGCAGTTCTTATCAAGATATATATAATCAAGCGTTAGCGTTATTTTGTATGTAAATATATGTAAATGTAACCAAGCTTGTACTGTATAAATGATTTCTTGTATAAGTAACCAGGCTGTTAGCCCGTAAGAGCGGAGAAGTAGCGATTAACTTGAATCATACTTTCACGTTCTCGTGTCGCGTTAAACCAGGAGTACCCACAAAAGTAATAAGAGATGGACGATTTCCCAAGATCTCCGATCCTGAGTTTCGGAGAAGAGAAGTAGATAAAAAGATAGCTAGATGAAGTTATCGTCGTTGAAAATTTATATTAGTTCCTTTATTTAAAACAATTGTTTTACTGATGCTTTAGCGCCTATCCAGTCTTATGGACATGCATCTTGCAATGCCTATTTTCCTCTTAACCCTTTAAGTCCCAATAGTGACCAAGATCAATTTTCTCGTTACAATATCAATACACAATCAAGAGGAAAGGTTACGAGAGTTGATAAATTCTTAAGGGATCTATGAAGATCAATATGAAGAATTTGTATGTGAATATTGGGGCTTTAATGGTTAAGGATTCATCAGTGCTCAGAATGGATTGTAGGGAACACATGTTCAATTGCGTTTGGAATTATATATAGCTCATGTAAGCTTAGGAGTAACTCTAAGGGCGACGCAGTTCAACCGGAAGAGAACTTCTTGAATTCTTGGGCAGCGGTTTTGCTGAAATTTTCGGGCAAATCGTGTCCATAAGAGCAAAATTTGGTAGCGTCAAGGCATATTAAAAGGTTGAAGTGCGTCGCTCAAAAACACCTTTGCTTAAGATTATTGACCTAATTGTCTGCTTGTTCAAGAAGGAACGAATGGTGGAGGAAATGGAAAAGACGTGAACTTACGCTAGTAGGAAAACAACTGGTTGCCTCTCTCAAGAGAAGGGCTTTTAAAACGCGTCCCGTTTCCTACATCGAACGTGGCCTCTTAGAGAGGTGCCGTCTAGGATAGTATCAATGAAGAAGGGACTGCAATTAAACTGTTCCCTCTTCACATTATAAGGCCTATATTATCGCATAAAGAAAAACGCTCGCTGGCCAACATTAGCAGTCATTGCAGATTACAAAATAATAGCTACATGCGTCTGTGTGGCTGTTTATATCGTTCTCGTATAAGAATTATCTTCATTATCGAAGACATCACAGTAAGGTCGTAGGACCATGCATTGTAACATTTTTGTACATACTTAACTTAAAATGCATGGGTTAATATGCCTGGTTTGCATGATATGTATTTCGTTCTACTGATTCATCCTGGTAAATTAAATTTCAAAGTAAAAACTATATGTGATCCTATCTTTAGCTTTATTTTAGTGAAACCAAGTAGGGCGGAATTACAGGTACTCTCAACTTCATGGCGTTGATTTTCATAGAACATGTGACGACACAGCCGACAGAAGCAAATCACACGGAATATTTACTTAACATGATTTTCGCTTTAATCATTATAGCCTGCGAGCAAGCTCTCCTGTTTGGGTAAGCGAAGTGAGCCTCGCGAGAACGCGCGAGCAAGGGGGCCGAGGAAAGGAGAGCAGAATTTTTAATTTTATCGTATTTTAAATAATGAAATCTTTAAAATGGAAGTTAAACAGACGAATTTTGTGACATTTAATATTTACAGTACAATTATATTATTGATTATCTAAAAACCCGTCTGTTAAAATTTGGTCAAATAAGTTTCAAATGGTAATGATTAATTATAGTAAGCTGTTTGACGTTTACAGGAAAATTTACTGAGAGAATTTTATGTGAAAAGAGCAAAAGTGAAATTTTATGGTTGTATCTAATCGTTCATGTTGCCATTGAAACTACGAAAACGTCAAATTTTACCTGTCAATCAAAATCTTTCATCAGTATACTTTTCACCTGCCAAGTTTCAGCTTGTGAGCTGCAACCTTTCTCTTGCCATGATTTGGCAAATTACATATATTCACAAACTGCCAAAACTGTGTTCAGCCACCTTAAGCTCAATGATACCTCCTTTCCATTTGTTCCCAGAGTCTCTCGTCTACCCTTGGAACGAGGTTGACTTCTCGTATTGACCATTCTAGTTCCAGGGAAAGTTTTTCTGGAACAAGATTCTCGTTCAATTTGTCTTTGGGAAATCCGCCTCTGGTAGTGTTTTCTCGGTGGGCGTGTTCGCAAACGGGAACTTTTGGACAAGAAAACAACACAAACTCGAATTCGAGTAGAAAATACTTTCGACATTTCCTGTATTTCCTATATGGTTGCTTACACCAAGATTACAGCTAAGTATCTCACAAACATCAGTGTAATTCTTTCCTTTGCTGAACGCTGGTTTAATATTGTGCCTATTTAGGCTAGTCTACAGCAGTGCATCTTTTGCTTCTTCTCACAACGCCACTCCTAGCGTCTCCAAGAAATGAAGGCATACAAAAGCCATTTACAGCACATGGTTACTAGATCGGAACCGAAATAAGCGTCACTAAGAGCATCAAAACCCATACTTTGACTGAGTCTGTCTTCGTGTTTGCCGATTGGCAGACCACTGTTGTCGCAGCTCGAACTCCCTTTCTTTAGCCTGGGATTAAAAAGGAAATAAAGTTAGGCTCTCGCAAACACTGCACTGCTATCCCCTGCCCTGGGACTTTGAAAGGAAACAGTTTCATGGTTTTTTCAGTGTCTCATACGCCAATGTCAGCGCGCAAGAACTTGGGCAGAGAATTCCAGCTTAAGCTATATAGCAAATTCAGTGGAACCCCGACTTTCGACCGCCCACTTGGCCTTCGAATACAGTACAGTCGTCTCTCCTCCCCCCCCCCCACCTATCCCCGGTAGTGATGTCAGCGGCGAGGAGCGAGGAGAGGCGGCTGAATTCGCAGGCTACCACCCACCTTGTTATTATGACCTCATTTCCGTAGCCTTAACTTAAAAAAATATTCGGTCATTTGGTCGTAGTAATGGGGTTCCCCATTAGCTGACTAACAAGGACCTGCTTTAGAATAACAGGAGATGATACGACATTGTGTTCTAGTAGCTTGCATCCTTGTGTGTATTCAATATTCAATTTTTTCGCCTGAATTGCCAAAAAAGTGTAGGGCAAGGGCCTCTCTTGATCCTTGTAAAGCCTGGTTTCCATATGATCGTTGAAAAGAAAATTCGGTGAGCGGTGGGGATTATGACGTACAGTAGCTCTACAACAATCATAGCAAAAGCGGCGATCATCGATTTGATATTTACAATCGCTATCGTCCAGATCGTTGGATTTATTTTCAACGACGGTTGTAATTATAAAGAAGACAGGATTTAATGGAAGTAAAAATAATGAATGTTTGTCCTGAAATTTACCCTCCACGTGGCAAACGCGACTTACCTGATAGGCTAGGTAAGTTATTTGATGTTTTCTCCTCTGTTGAGCTGTAGGCATGTCCTTCTTTTTCTGCAATAAAATAGGGACATAAATCATTCACCTCCGGAAGACAGATTTACCGGTAGGGAGATATGTCAAAAGGATATTACTGTCAATATTGCGGCCAATATTACTGTCTAGGTCAATTCTGTATTGGAGTCATAACTTAGTGCCCTTACCCATACCACAGGCTGCCCAAGCTCAGTTTTAGAGTTTAATCATTAATACAGGTGGTTTCATATTGAGTACTCCTTAAAATGGCCGTGAACATAAAGGATTTGTATGTGAATTCAGGTAAAAGATTCAAGAAGACAAATACTCGCTAGAATTTTCAATAAAATACACCTTATTTACTTTACTTGTTTTTGCTTGCTGTGTTGTTACTCGTGGTTAAAGGAATTGTTTAAATCCCAATAGATCGGGAAAATAACCGCACAGCAAGCAAAAACGAGTAAAGTAAATAAGGTAAGGTGTATATGTTATGGAAAATTCAAGCGAGTATTTATATTCTTGAATCTTTTACCTGAATTCCCATACAAATCCTTTATGTTCACGGCCATTTTAAGGATTACGCAATACAAACCAAATGTATTAATGATTAAACTCTCACACTGAGCTTGGGCAACCTGTGCCCATACACGAAATTCTCCTGTGAAGTTGTGAAGAAGATATCAAACACATCTCATCGATGGGCACTACCCATAATCGTTTTTGGTGATTTTTACAGGCATGGCATTAAAACTTGAAAAAGATGGCCCAACTTCTTCAAGTTTTAATCCACGTCCATCTTAAAGAACAAAACTGGACCATTATTTTTAGAATTCAACTGATGTGGAGACACATTTTAGCTCTTCAAAAAGATAACAAATAGCGTGACATAGCTAATTTAACATGAAGCCTTCTTAAAGCGAAATGGAGCAATGTCATAATTATACTTTGAACTTATAGCCTTGTGCAAACAGTGGGGGACCTTTCTTATAGAGATGTCCGTCACGATATTAGGACTCCAGGCCTATCGAATCGTTACATGAAACAGAAAAACTACCGTAAAATTCCGAAAATAAGCCCCTCCACGTATAAGCCCCGCCAAATATAAGCCCCCTCGGGGGGCTTGTACTTGGAAATTGCCCTCAAATACAAAGTTAAACGAAGCAAAAATGGTAAATTTCATTCCAACTATAAGGCTAGCCCAATCGATTTTGAAACGCAACTTTCTCTCCGTAGATAAGCCCCTCCGAATATAAGCCCCTCCAAAAATAAGCCTCTCTACAAGGGCCTTTGAAAAATATAATCCCCGGAGCTTATTTTCGGAATTTTACGGTATGTGTACAAATAAATTAATGCCGAGCTAAATCAGGATATATATAAACAACCCTTTACCCGTGAAGGTCGATGGGCTACTTCTTCTGTGCCATATTTCGCCACCATTTCTGCAGAGTTGCCAATCTGATCGTCAGCATTAACATCAACAATGTTAATTTCCTCGTGGCGATTTCTCTTCCCTTTGAGTTTGTGTAACTAAGAAAATCATACAATTGTTATAAAAAATTATGACTGAGTTGGTGAAAAAGCAGCAACGTTTTTGACCGAAGCACGTCAACCGGAAGTAATCCTTTTCCTCTTTTCACCACAGTAATTTTGGGGTTAATTTAACTCCTTACAGTAGAGTTATTTTAATTCCAAAACGGAGTTTAAAGAAATCTTTTTCAGGAGCAAAAATCACCCAAGCTATTGAGGAGTTAAAATAACCCAAAAAGAAGTTAACTCCCTAAAAATTACCGTGTTAATATGCCTTGATGATACCAAATTTGTTTTGTTAATGTCTTTACTCCTACAGAGACGATTTGCCCAAGAATTTATTCAAAATCACGGCCGAGGAGTGCAAAAAGTCCACTTCCGGTTGACGTTCGTCACGTCACGTCACTGCTTAAACTCCCGATAGCCTCTGGATTACAGACTACTCCTACATCTAAGGACTGAATAGGAAGACACCTGCATGCAGGCTAGCAACAAGGAAAAACGTTAAGAAAATTTAAACAACAGCAAAAACACAACATTCAATAATAAATACCATTACCTTTTCTAAATCAATATTATTCGTTTCTTGGAACTGCGTTGGCTCCTGTGTTGGGGTGCCTGTGGGGTAAGTGTATGTATAGGGTTCTGATTCTTGGCCATAATAACCAGTGTTGTAGCTGTAATATTGCTGAAAAAAAGGGGTTGAAAATTACAAATGTGACATCATCGTTCCCAGGCTGGTTCACAAGTGAAAAGATATTGCAAGGGTAGGCTTGATTTCTGCCAGTCCTCTTCCTTCCTGAGGGGGAACGCCAGCTCCTTTCCCAAACAATGGCAGGTAATCGAGCCTCGAGCAAGGAATGTTCATGTGCAACATAAACCCGAGCAAAGGGCCGGAGAAGATAACCTTGCACATCCGAGCATCCCCAGATAGTCAGTGCCATGTTGGCGCTTGAATTTATGTTGACAAACGTGTAGTTCATATGCGGGTGTGCACGTGTTTTCATTTTAGTTTGCCTTGCATCACCCGTGTGTTGTAAAATGCAATTAATTTCCTACAGAATTTCTTTTTGTAAAATCTTCTGACCCAAATGGTACTGCGCAAAATGAACTGGTTTATGTTGTGGTTTTATGTTGCCCATGGTTCAAATATTACTTTATCATTACCTCTTATCAGAATGGTAATGTACAGTATCCTTATTAGTTTGAAAAACAGGAAAATAAAATTTGAGCCAAGGATAAAATTGCGCCCACAACATACTAGCCTCCCCCCAAAGGGTGTCTGCGGGGAGGCTAACAACATACACGTACTGTAAATTAACATTAACTTTCACTTTCTTTCAAAGAGGTGTGGGAGATGCATGGGGTTGGGGGTTCACTTATATCCACGTTTGCACGTAGCTACAAAAATTGCAATTTTTTGTGTTTGTGAAAAATCGCAAGCCAATTGAAAGCCCGTTGTGAAAATTGTAAAAAATTGCAAGTCTGATGATTTTTCGTGTCACTTGCGATTTTTCACAGTTCTTTGTCATGTTAATGAAATTGCAGTTTTTGTCTGGCACCCTTCTACCTCCTCTAACACATGAATTTATTAATTTTAGCAAATAGTCCATTTTCAGTTCGCCATGACCACTGAATTAAAGAAGTGAAGATGCACTTTTTACAGCCTTAGCCTCAATCTGAAGTAATATATTCACAAATTCCAACGAGAAAAAGACCTGTCTATTACTCTGTCTATTGTGTATATTCAAATTTCAAACACTTACTTGCCAGAATTTCTGAATATTTTACTTTACGTCGAGGCTAACCCTGTATGAATGTGAATGTATGAATATGTCAGTGGTAATTTTTAATTCGAAACTGGACTATTTGGTGATTTCTTCACTTTTTTGCAATTTTTGAAAAAATCACAGTTTTTGCTGAGCACCCTTCTCCCTCTTCAAACACTTGGATTAATTAATTTTAGCAAATTTTGCGATTTCTCCAATTTTTTCAATTTTGAAGCTGGGTACAAACTTGGACATATAGGGGTTGGGGAGAAGTGGAATAAAAGGAACCCCAATATTTATTATTAGAGATGGCGCATTAAAATAATGTATGTCACTTAATACTTACATAATCATTAGCAGAATAGCCTGGATACTGCTGATTCTGTGCAGGCTGCTGTTCATAATAGCAAGTCTTTGTCTCTAATTCCCCTGAACTGAAGCTTTCTTCTCTTCCAAAATCTATTTGTGCACTATGCACTTCCATCACTTGCTGCTTTGACTCAGTCAAACTGGCACTGCCTTGAAATGTAGGTGAAGTAGAGGGCACCTCGCCACCCAAAAATGAGGTCACAGCCTGATTTGAAATTTCTTGAACTGGCTCATTAACCTTTAAACCAGAGTTGCTCTTAGCATCTTGATTTTGGATGGTTTCAGCCTTTTCATCTGTTAAGCTCTCAGTTTCATCACTGAACGTAAAGAAACTAACTGGTTCATCTTCGTCATCACTTATGGCACCTTCTGCCTGGTTTAACACCTTAGCTGTTTTCTGCGGCATTTTCTCTGCAGCTTTTGCTTTCTTAGTGAGTGTATGAGGTATCAAAGGTCTACTGGCTAATTTCACTGAGGGCTTGTTTGGGTTATCAGCTTTCATTGTGATGCTGTGCTTTGGTTTAGGAAGAAGTGACTTAAGACCAGATCCTTCCTAAAAATAAACAAACATAAAATGTATACATGTAGTAATTCCCCAATATCCACAATCATATAATTTCTCCAAACTGATCTTCATGCATTTCCTAGCATTTTTGTTAATGCTGATCATATTTTTATTATTATTCTCATAACCTTTCCTCTCTGATGATTTACTGATGTTGTTAGGAGAAAATTGATGTTGGTCACCAGGGTTTTCAATAAGACTTTAAGTAGGTGGCAAAAGCTCTGGAGTATGCAGAGAAAGAAAAAACTTGCCACAAAGGCACGACTTGTGAGTGCTGAAGGCATGAGTTTCTGGAAAAATTTTAAAATCTGGGCCTCTTAGAATGCATTTTTAGCATTCTGGAGCAAAAATTAAAGTGTTTGAATGGAACACAGACATCATTAAATTTTAGCTTTTTTATCCAGTGACAGCACTGTCATAAATACTGTATTTAAACTGGGATAATTTCCATAGAAAAATAGGCGGTGATTTCACGTGAAATAGCCAGGTGAATTTTGCCAGCCACCAGCTCTTATTGAAAACCCTCTCCCTGGGTCACTATTGGGACTTAAAGGGTATTGAAGTTAACAAAAAGTGACAAAAATTTATCTCTCCACTTGGAACTTTAAATCTCCCCCTGGAATCCACGAACACTAGTCATTCATTTAAAGTGCGTTACCTTTGATGGTATGATTTTCTTTGCAGCAGGACTATCATCTTCATCATCTGAATCAGTCTGATAATCAAAGTAAAAATAGCCATTATTAAATTCTTATTGTTGCATTGTAAGTTGAAATATTTTCCATTTTGCCACGTGGAACTATATCCCTGGTCCTATAAATGATAACCTCAGAAGCTGACTAGATCTACTCATCCTGTTTATTAAAAAGTATGTATATTGTTGTACAATAAATGGAATACCCCTTAACTGTACACAACTTGTAAATAATTTAAAAACACAAAGGAAAATAGAAAGTTTAACTATCTCTTGAAGTAATTATTATCTCTTTTCGCGTGCAATTAGGTATATCTATCTTCTCATTGGCTACAGTTAAGTTTGGAAATCAGCACTAGCAGATAACTAACTAATCTATTGGTTGCACGCACAATGCATGATTTCCAACAATGAATAATAAAGGTCAATAAACAATATCATTGTTGGATAAGGTTTTTGTGATATCTGGTATAATGAAGGTCTCGGTAAGTGTTATCAGCCTCGGCCTTCAGCTCGGCTGATAACACTTACCTCGACCTTCATTATTATTATTATTAGTAGTAGTAGTAGTAGTAGTAGTAGTAGTAGTAGTAGTAGTAGTAGTAGTAGTAGTAGTAGTAGTAGTAGTAGTATTTTTAGCGTCTCTCCCCAGTCTCACTCTCTGTTTTCAGCCTCGTTCCAGACCTTTTGTTTGACTGCTCGCGCTTACTTGAATACGCAAAAATAAGGACTGTTTTGCAGTCTACATCATCTGTTATACCAGATCAAATCTGCAGCGACTTTCCAACTTCATTGGATTAAATGAAGGGGTGCACAAAATCAAGGTCCCAAGTAACTTCTGATCTAATTACAAATTCTCTTTTGATTATCAAGTGTGTATATATACATGTATACAAGGTGATGGAAAGAAGAGCCTAGCATTTTATCAGAGGTCACTTAGGGCATTATCCAGGCATCATCTAATGATAAAAATATCTTCATGCATGTGGTCACCAAAACAGTCCGTCAGGGGTCTAAATTCATTGTACAATGAGTCATTCCCTGCATTTGCATGATACCAGTAAAACTTTCCATACTGCGACGAAAAACTTACTAATCTCAACTTCGCAAGGAAGTGGGGAATAAAATGAACTTGTCCCAGCATGGCTGCAGTGATACTAGCATTTCTGCTGGAATTGTGTAAGCAAATACAGAGCCAAAAGAACCCAGATAAGATCAAGCTGGTATGAAATCATAGTAGTATCATTGTTAATACCCCGTTAAACACTACTTGCAATCTCTGTTTGTCTTACCTTTGGGGCAATGGGAATAGCAATTTTGACAGGTTGTTTGGAACCTCTCTCTTCAGACGTAGTCTGTTTACTCTTTGCCTTTACTTTAGGGTTAGCAGATTTTAACCAAGAGTTTTCAGCTTGCCAGGGAGAAGGGAGAAGAGAAAACAAACTTCCAACAGACTTTGGCTTATCCTCAATTTCAGTTGATTGAATCTTTTTGGTTCGTTTTACAATAGGCTCATAGTCTTCTTCGATCTCTAAAATCTCCTCTTCATCATCCATCATCGCTGATGAGCTGATTGAAGGTTTTTCATCTGAAGTATCTGTGCTCTACAATTTTGAAATATCACGAGTGGTATTTATGCCAAATATCACGTACAAATCATGCTATTATTTGTTTATACTACTACCCACAAAGGGTTTGTAATTTTCACATGTAGGTATTTCAAATTAAGCTGAAATACAACTGCTCTAAGCCAATCAAATTGCAGAAATTTCTCCTGCAGTAGTATAAGACTAATAATACATAGTGATAATTGAACTTCGCATCATGCAATTTGGTCTGAAATCATGCTCGTGACCACTTTATTACAGTCATTTGGAAATCACAGAATTCATTCAGTACCAACAATTATTAATTTGACCTAGTAGCCGGTTTGTTGAAAAGCAGAAGCAAAAAGGCTTTCACATCTCATTTTGTACCTGAAACAAAAATGATGTATTATATACACTGTAGAGCAAAAATGATGCAATTTAAAACAGAAATGATTCCATTTTATGACATGAATAACCTGATTTTGAACAGATGTGATTTAGAGCAAAAAATAGTGCAAATTTGTGAATTAATATCATAATTACTCCTTAATTTTGGCGCGAAATTTCAGCGTTATTTGTAAGGCAACCTGCCGTACGTCTCTGTTTCAAGATGGCGATGAAGTTTTAAAATTTCATGAATGAAGATGTCAGGGCATAAAAAGACGCTTTAGAAAACCTGAACACATGAAAGAGCACATCAAGAAGGATTCTTAGAGGTATGTTGTTGAAAAATTCCGAAAACTTAGCCAAATTTCAGCTCTAAATGTTTGAGAGAGTGACGATTGATCGATACGATCCAGTATAAACAAGTAAAAAATCCGCGATTACTAAGGTAATTCGTCACCCATGATATTAATAGGTAATCAAATGGTATACTCGTGAAATTAGGGAATAATTTCACTTGCGTGTTGTCCAAATCCTTATAATTTCCCGAGCCTTTCGTGAAATTATTCCCTAATTTCACTCGTCACCATTTCGCTCGCCTAAAGGCTCGGAAATTATAAGGATTTGGACAAAACGCGCGTGAAATTATTCCCTAATTTCACTCATCACCAGTTGATTACACATACAAATCACACCGTTGAGAGCCTATCAGAAAATAAAAAATAATAATGTAATCAATTTTATTGTAAAAAATTAGTATAGATATCTTTATATAAATAATTTCCATTTATTAATTTAATTTTTTCTCTCACTTTACTTTTTATTAGTAGTGTATTGTTCTGTATTCTTGTATTTTGATGTTATTATTTCTGAACAACTTTAAAAGCTGAGGCCAGGAATGTATTAGAATAACTTAAACTAGAAGAGGACATCGCGTCTTTTTACACATTCAACACACAAAACTGTAAAAACTGTAAATGAATCAAAATTAAAAGTCTTGAAATATATTTCACTCTTCGAGCCTCTTCAGTCAATAATAATAATAATAATAATAATAATAATAACTGACTGAAGAGGCTTGAAGAGAGAAATATATTTCAAGACTTTAAATTTTTATTCTTTAACAGTTTTTGTGCATTGAATGTGTAAAAAGGCATGATGTCTTCTTCTAGTTTGAGTGATGCTATTATTGCAAATAAAAAATATACTCTTCTAGGAGTTTTAACTAAATCAGTCAATTTTTTTTTTGCACAATATATTTTTCTCTACTATCATTGTACTCATAAGGGTCATAGTTAGAGTACAAATCAAAGAGGGCAGACGGCAAATTGTTGTTGCTCGAAATGCACGTATCTAAAAGCGAGTCTTCTGCACAATTGTCCGCAGATGAACTTTTTTCTTCATCTTCCCTACAGCCCTGTCACAGTGAAACATGCAAGCAGCCAAACCACAGTATAGAGCTGCAAATAACAGTCAGCCATTGGACAATGTCCAACTTAAAATTTTCCCATGTCTGACAAAATCCTACAAGCTGCAGACATCATGCTCTACAGATCACATTTTAAAGACTATTATTTTGTAGCTAAAGATTTGCAAACTTAAAGAATAATTAAAAGTTGACATTTTGTAGGTCTGACAACTCTCCTGGTGAGACCTGGTTAGACATTAGTCCTTTCTAAGAAAAACCAGGTCCAACAGTGGCTTAAAGTGGAGAAGTTGTTTCTAGAGCTTACATGAATAAAGGGGAATAGTGGTATCCACCGGATGAATCACTATCCAGAGGAGAAGTACTGGGAGAAACAATTCATTGCTTTATCCACTGGATAGAAATTCATCCAGTGGATGGTGCTACCCAGATTTTAAACTAGAGATTGTTTTGGTGGGGGTCTTAGTTTTCGTAATTACGAAAACTAAGAGGGGTCTTAGTTTTCGAAATTACGAAAACTAAGACCCCTAAATTTACCGGTAAATTTGACCTAAAACTCGGTGGAAAGGATCGAACATGATATAATTTGACAGATCAGACCTATTTTGGTTACAATTTGACTTTATATTTCGACGGATTCGATTTTAGGGGGTCTTAGTTTTCGTAATCTCGAAAACTAAGACGGGTCTTAGGTCTTAGGTCTTAGTTTTTCAAGGGTCTTAGTTTTCGTAACACCCATGTAAATACCCCCTTACTTGCAATCCCTGTTTGTCTTACCTTTGGGGCAATGGGAATAACAATTTTGACAGGTTGTTTGGAACCTCTCTCTTCAGAAGTAGTCTGTTTACTCTTTGCCTTTACTTTAGGGTTAGCAGTTTTTAACCAAGAGTTTTCAGCTTGCCAGGGAGAAGGGAGAAGAGAAAACAAACTTCCAACAGACTTTGGCTTATCCTCAATTTGAGTTGATTGAATCTTTTTGGTTCGTTTTACAATAGGCTCATAGTCTTCTTCGATCTCTAAAATCTCCTCTTCATCATCCATCATCGCTGATGAGCTGATTGAAGGTTTTTCATCTGAAGTATCTGTGCTCTCCTTCTCACGATTGCTGATGTTTTTGGGCTTAGGAAGAAACGATGATAAGCTAAAGCTTCCCTTGCTTTTGACAGAATTTGAAGTTTCATTGCGTTGTTTGGGCGACGGCAGAACTAAACCCGTTTTATTCTCCTCTTCTCTTCCTTCTACAGTGGAGGTAAGCTTTTCCCCATCTTCCTGGCCATCATTATTTGTAATTATCAGTTCTTTAGAAACACGAGAGCTTTGAACCTCCTCCGAATCGCTCGAGTCACTTTCTTCGCCGCTGCTTCCATATGCAACTAGCGACATCACGCAAATATGTCAGGCGTACGTCCAAAAATTTCAGAACCAAAGGAAACTATTGTATGAATCCCTTATTTGGCCTCCTCTTGGTAAAAATCTCGATAATAAACAGCGCATTACAATCGATTACAGCCGCCGTCCGCCATATTTGTTTTGTGACTAGTGCCCAGTGGAGCGCTGACTTTGGATTAAATGCACGAACTGAATGCTGGGACATGGATGGATCCGAGCGCACAGCAAATCTACAAAGTATGAAATATTAAAGGACGCTGAGAACGCTTAAATTCGGGTGGTGCAGTTTTATGTTATTTCGCGGTAATGCGATCCTTTTTTATCTCTTGTACAGCTTACTCAACCACGTGAGTAGAGGTCTGGGTCGAGATCGTCGAAAACGATGAAAAGCACTTTAATTTCACGATTAGAGCCGCCCCGCCCTGTTAATAACAGGTTACGCACTGTTGTTAATATTTTTTCGGAGTGCTTAAGCTAAACTACATCCGGTGATGAATGAACTGCGCAAAGAGAGCACATTTAAATTCGCGACAAAAGTATCATGGGCCCCAGCTTGCGTCAAAGGTGGTTTTTAAAAAGTGTGTTTCGGAGGGGGAAGGGTATTTTTAGCGAAACTTATTACATGACATTTAGTTACAATACATGACTCTTCCGGTTTATTAAATGACACGCCGCAGTCACGGATTCAGAATAGGAATAGCCTCATGGGCGTAATATCTCTAAATAAAATAGCAACAATTTGAATTGGACATAGAATTACTCCAATGCAAGTCTTTTTCTTTGTTTTGCGACTTTTTTAAAGGTATTATCATCGTGTAGAATTGGACATGCACAAAAATGACTATCCACAGTTGTATCCACTTCAGCCATAAATTGAAAAGTGAAATTTGCTGTCACCGTCAAGATCGCCCTTCGCTTGTGCCCCCAAGACTGGATTTTCGATCTGTAACCAGCTTTATTGTGACACCAAGCGGCTATGTATTTGGTAATCAGTCGATTATTTCCCCCTGTGTTTCTACAGAAAGGATGTAAGGTTAATTAAGAATTCTTTTGAATAAATGATAGATAGGTCTTGTTTTCTTACGGTCTTGTTTGTGCTCCGCAGTTCGATCGGTACAAGCTGCGTAAAATCACAAACTGCATGTGCATACCGGGGAATATTCATTTGCTATTTAAGGATTTCTCGAATTGCGTTGGATAATTTAGCAATTGAAAGAGCAAAAACTCATGGTCGTGTCGAAACTAAAAGAGGTACTTGAAATACGAGAGCATGTGCCATAAAGGAACTCGACACCTGAGAACAATCTACATTTTGTTATTGCGTTTTTACTCTGAGCGGGTACAAAGCAGGTTGTTAATTGTTCAATATCCCATCAACCCTAGGGTGTTTGCATAATTTATGCGTAATCGGTGTTTTAAAACTGTGATAGCCCTCATTTAAACAACTGTAATGGCGGAACCTAGTTGATTTGAGCCAAATGAAGCGCACAGGATCACTTAACCTTGCGGCATACGGTCTCCAGTAATTACTAGGTAAGATATATAAGCGTTATCTGTCAATTTCATAATCCTGGTACCCATCTCTTACTGACCTTATATCATTTTATTGGTTTTGCTTTCGAGGCCGCCCAGTTCGAAAGCACGTTTTTCTTCACGTACGTGAATTCGAAAGGAGACATACTCATCTCCTAAATGGCTTTTCAGTACAGATATATACTTAACAGTATCTAACATTCATTCTGTAAGTGCAAAGTATTCGGACGTATTTCTTTGCTTAAGGCGTGTTTTAAAACAAGCTAAGATGGAGAGCTTCCGAGTTTGTCCAGAGGGAGTGAACAGGTTAACAACTTCATATCGAAATTTAGGCTCGTTCACAGTTTCCCTTGTCAAGAATAAGCAAAAGGCTTAAACGTTCAAACATTGGTCATATGAACCGTTCCTATGTCCGAGGTGATACAAAATCAGCTAAAATTTGTGAACAATTGTACTTCATTTGCTTGCAGGTCTATTTATAATGCCATTTTGTCTTGCATTTAGCCTTCCTCAAACGCAAGGCCTTGCAGCAATTCGCTCTAATCTCTCATCACAAAGGTGCCTATTATTTGCTTCAAGAAATCAGTTTTGATGGAAATAAAACTATTGCTTCTCTCGCTTAACCCAAACGAGGGCAAAAATCATGTAACATGTTTGCACGCTTGTTACAGAAACGTTTCAGTCAGGTGATATCCCGGCAACATAGTTCAGGCTGGAAAGAATCTTAATCTACTGAGGGTTTATTTGTTCTCTTCAAAAGCTGTATTTACTTCTAACCACGGTATTCAGGCATAAGGGATACAAAAAAGCTTTGTTATTTATTTATATCTTTTGTTTTTATGTTAGAAAATACAGATAAATCATGTGTATTATTAGAAGTCGCTTTTGGATAAACGGAAATAAATTTATAAATGTGAGGTTTCGGTTTACTACCAGCCGAGACATTTATTAATATACATCTGTTAACTTTATCAGAATGCATTCCGAAAATTTGAAAACTGAAAAACATGAAAAACGATTTTATTATTATTTTAATTCAGAATCTTTTGAAAAATTGTCATTAAGGCAGAAGCAACCTAAAAATTAATAGACGACGCTCCCTATAAACTTGTTGCTTTTATGAGGCCAGAAAGTGACAGCGTTTGTATCAAACAGCAGCTGCGAGGAAAATAGCACATTTGACTTTTTATCGTAACCTGATTGTTTTATTCATTATAAAATTTGCACAGTCGTTTTGTTTTTAGAGATGTTTGAACTACTTTTGGTATCCAAGCAACATAAATCAATACAAAACACCGATTTTCTTTCCCTGTCTTAAATACCAATTATCATAAAAAAGAAAGTCGGAGTCAATTAGTAGATTAAAAAATATCACCATTTTACTTAATCTTCGAGGAACATCTACTAAACAGTTTAAAGAGAATTCTGTTCTTTCCGGCGTGATACCTTACAGTACCGTACTTGTGCGATTATCACCGTAGCCTGTTCCAGGCTCCGAGATAGTGGTGAAAAGTCGTTCAGTAAAAAGAAATGAGAAAAACGCGCTGGAGCTGGGGAGAGACAGGGGATTTTTCCCGCCGCCACCGCCCCCTTTCCCAAGTCGCACGCGTCTTATTTTCGTTTTGCTCGTTCAATACGTCCCCACTATACTATCCGAGAGCCTGGCACAGGCTATTATCACCGCTTCCCGTTTATATAGGGAAAACTTGTCCAGGACAGAAAAGTCGCTCGCCTACCTGGGCTACTTTGGTCGAGCCAACCTTTTCCGCCATTTCCTCACAAAACTTGGCGAACCATTTATATGAGAAAAAAAAGATGGCTCCACTAAAAGCGGGTCACCTGGCTAGCCTGCTGGTCACCCCTTTTCGATAATAGAGAGATAACGAGTCACGTTTACGGCTAACGCGAGAATTTCTCAAAATAAATTAAATTAAATTAAATTAAAACTTTAATAAATACTCCCAAAAAAAGGTTTTTCAGTACCTATTAACAAATATAAATGCAAGCTATATCTAACAAGCTAATAATTGTTAAATGCTAACTGTCATTCGATCATTCATTCATTACAAGTTTCAGGGCTTTCGTAAAGGCCTTTACAGTTGTAGCGTTTCTAAGGTTTTCGTCTAACGTGTTCCACAGGGATACTGCTCTATAGGCGAAGGTACGTTGGCCAGTGGCTGACCTGAATAATGGGATTTCGAACTTCGAAATAGAGAATAAGCAGATAAAAACATAAGAATAAGCAGATAAAAACAACCCAGAACAACAGGAACAATTCTTGTGGATAACACGGGAGTGAAACTACTTAATTTGGGGAAGAAGTAATAAACAGTAAACGACAAATAAGGGGAAACTTGGTCACCTGGTACAAGTTTGGCGTAAACGTGAATCTTAATAAACAATTATTTGATGAGGTTTTTGTGACATCCAGAATAATCAAGGCCGAGGAAGGCTGAGGCTGATAACCCTTACCGAGACCTTGATTATTCTAGATATCACAAAAACCGAATCTAATAATTGTTTTATTATACACTGAACGAAAAAAAACAAATGGTCACGACGGTAAGTGGAACAAAGCAAACCTGGAAGTCATGTTTTTGCTTCTTCACTAACGGCAAGCAACACAAAGCGAGCGAACTTGACATGATTACCGTTAGAAATCATGCACCGCGGTCAAAAACATGACAGGATTACCCGTGACCTTGGGTGTCCTTGACATGATTATTGTATAATCTGCAGCTAGATGACGTCCCAGGCGCTGATTTCGAAAATTCACTGTACGCTTTCGGCCAATCAGAAAAGAGATAGTGAGTTAAATGTATAATAATCTCTTTAATACTGTCCTTCCTCCCTTCCTCCCTCCGGAGAAAGTTTTCTTCATAGAAAGACATTGGCAGGGATGAAATATTCTCTTTCTCTTCAAGAAACGCTCGGGGACAACATTTCACTATATAAACGGGGTTTAGATTAGAATACAAAATTGTATCAGTGAGTACGAGTTACAAATCTAGTTTTCTAGTTTTAGAGTGATTATACGAAAGGGGAACCTTTTCAGTCCAAAATGGTATATAAAAGGGTAAGGGGGGGGGAGCTTCCCCGTACAAAATTTTGTTGACTATCCCACCCGCGATTAAATAGGAAAGAACTCGTTTATTTACTATGTGGATTGTTTTCTTTTTAGAAATGGTTCGAATGACAGAGAGTTTCAAGAGATCGAGTCGACTAAACACATGAAACCTAAAAATCAATGTGGATTTAAGAGGAATGTCCCGCCATCGATCTTCAGCAGCACATGAACAGATCTCAAGTCAAAAGACAATGATTGCACACCAAGACAACTTAACAGATGCCCTTAACTCTCTGGGTCTCACAAAAGGCTCCACAAACCTCACTCCAGAGGCAAAACGACACCACGAAAATGTTGCACTGTACATGTTTATCGGCCTCGTAGCGGCATTTTTGTTCATTGCAACTATTATTATTACGGTTGAACTGTACAGAAATGGAAGATGTTCGAAAAACGTCAAGCTAAAAGGAGACAAGGGAAACAGTAGGACTAGATTGGAAAATGAGGATGATGATGACGAGGGTGACTACTCTGAAATAGAGATGAACGACTTATAACATAAGCATTACTAGTGTGCTCACTTGCACGGCGGGGTAATACAACATCAATTTAGATAAAATGGAAGGGATCGTACAATTATTGTAAAGAGCTTGGAAATCTTGCAAATGAGTACGTTTTTGAAAGAGATCTGCCCACGACCCGAGGATCATTCTGCGCACCAATTACTGGCAATAGATCCCAGCCAGAGGATGTCGAGCGGGTCGAAGTGCATGCCTCAAAAACACGCAGCCAGGACTTTCCATTGCAAGGAAAAAGATGTGAAAGTGATTACTAGTAGCTCCCAAAACAGGAAGTATTCCCTGGTCGAATTTCGCGCTGGTGTTCAGGGATGCGCGTTCTTTCAATGAGTTGTAGCAAACGTGTATCCGCTGGACTACGCAGAACGCAGGCCTTAGCTCAGTGGGTATTGGTTCACTTTACAGAATAGAAATACTAAAAATTGACTTTAGAACTGATAAGGTCTCTGTACCTGATCGAATTCCATGCATTCTGTCATGCATTGGTGTAACACAATTCAGTAGCCTTGTTTTTCGGAATGGGATACTTTAGGATTTCCAATAGCCTAAAAGGTTACTGATCGACCCACTTTCTAAACCATCAAACTGCAGAGTAAGGAGATAGTGCTACTCTATATCTTTCACTAATTCATGTACAGTTAGTTATACAACGACCTTACATCGTGTGCGCAGTGTAATAGAAAGTATCACAAGAAAGAAATCAGTATAACAGTTGCTATTTCTAATCCATTTGAATAGCCAAAAAGCTTACGTACGATTTTACAAGAGTCTCTAAAGTTACATCGTCTTGTATACAAGCATCATTAAGAAGGTACCGGTGCATGATCAAAACCTTTTCTTTTGAAAGTGCACCAATGATTTCAACCACACAGCCGTCGATTTAATACCGACTTAGGCAACAAACTGAACTTGTTACTCGATACAAGCTGTTATGAAAAACTCAATATCGAAGGACGAAGGATCCGATTGATTAATTCAGTCGCACCATATATCGGTCTACATGCTTTAGATTAGTTTCTGAAGACAAGTGTTTGTGAGATCCAGCTGATAACCGAAACTGATAAGGGCTTCCTTTGAACGTGATCAATTTAATTAGGCAGTGGCTATCAAAATAATTTACACACTTGTAACCCTTCTTGCCGTTGAAGCACCGGAAATGAATGATTAACGCTGTTTTTGATATGCTAGATGCAAGTAAACAAACCCTTTTTTTTATTTTTATTTTGTATAAAAAAAATGTTTAATAAAGCTTAATAGCATTTGACTTAATTATTTTATCATTATTTTCTTAAGATACTAACATATCTAGCTACAAGCTTTGGCCTTTAAGAAGTAATACTGGTCGTCAGTACATTAGTATTGAAGTTGTATGAAGAGCTCATATTGACAATCTTTGACTGAATTAGTTGACTAGTTGACTTATGTTTAAGTAGAACAGCATTGAATTTTTAACGCCGGCCCTTGTCGATTAGTCTTAGCTTATTCAACACAATGTAATAAGCTTTTGCCTCTCGTGACCCTAGATAACTCGAACCCTCTCTTCTCCATGTCGCAATGAGTTTTTCATATCAGCGAATCAAGTCAAGCCGCGCTTATTCTCTACGATCGCCCCATGTAAGGGAATCCAAGACAGTCTTGGACTCTGGATTCCACACCGTGGATTCCGGATTCCAGGTACTGGATTCCAGTCTTTGTCAGTAGAACTTGGATTCTGGATTCCACATTTCACAAGCAAAAATTTCCTGCATTGCGAATCCGGATTCCCTTACTAGGGGAGACTCTACGATTTTCTTAGCTTTGTCAGACTTAATCCAGCCATAAAACTTTTGACTTTTGATGAGCGGTTTTGAGCTTTTTGGCAGTACCCGTGCTCGAACTTGCGTAATATCAACGCTCGATGACACTACCAACCATTACCCCATAACATAGCCTGCGTAGCATGGCGGTTTTGGTTGCTAAGTGATAACAGTTTTGATGACGGGTTTCAGGTTAATCGTTCGCTGATCGTCTCACGATAGTCACTTTGCTATTGACCGAGACGTTTCAACCGCTTACTGCTGGTTATCTAGCAATGGTGTCGATCGCGATTTACTGCGCGGGACTGTCAGTAAACGTAGCACCGTGGGTGCTTGTGATCGGTGCATTTGGACTCACTCATGGTTCATTGGGTGGATTTCAATTCTAGATCTTAGTATCGGTTGAGTTAAATCAGTCACCGTTTCGGACTGGAACTAGATGTCCGTCTTACTTAGAAAAGTGGTCTCCTTCTGTTAAGGTCAAAAACAATGTCTGCAGAAGTTAGCGACAAAGATCAACTAAAGGTGTCTATCTAGTGTTGAATTTGGGTGGGACGGTGGTATGGCTTAGTGCGATGTTTTCAATTGAACATTTAAACATTCTATTGGTAAATTCACCTCAATCTTTCGTCTGCGGTAAGTAGAACTTATCGACTCATGGCAAGAAAACCGAATTAGTGTTTTAAACCCCCCCCCCCCTCTTGCCCCTTGCGCCATCGACTCGGCGCCACCCCTTTTTTTAACCAACCCCTCTTGACCTCTGGTACGAGACAAACACAAACGGTCCTCGTTAATTTGTTAGTGTTTAAAAAGTACCGTAAATTCAGAAAATAAGCCCCTCCATGTATAAGCCCCTCCAAATATAAGCCCCCCGAACCGGTGACGCAAAAAAAACCCATTAAATCACCCCTCCAAATATAAGCCCCCCGGGGGCTTGTACTTGGAAAATTGCCCTCAAATACAAAGTAAAACAAGGCAAAAACTTTAAATTTACTTCCAACTATAAGGCTAGCCCTATCGATTTTGAAACGCAAATTTCCCTCCGTAGATAAGCCCCTCCTAATATAAGCCCCTCCAAAAATAAGCCCCTCAAAAAGGGCCTTTGAAAAATATAAGCCTCGGGGCTTATTTTCGGAATTTTACGGTATATTGCGCACGCATGAACAATCTATGTTGAGATTTCCTCTGTTTTTTACCCGGCCTACAGTCCACTTTTAGTCAAAACACTGAACTTAGGGTATACCGTGGATGTTTGTTAGTGTAGTACAAAGAGAGAGTGCATAAAATGTACAAGGTTACTACAATATACTGCAGCCTGGGGAAAGCGGTATAAATTAAGTGTGAAATTCCCAGTTTTTCCCAGATTTGGTCAGTGAAAGCAAGAGTTACAGAGGACACCCAAAAGAAAGCTCGGTAAGTTAGAGTGCATAAGTTAATTTTATTCAATCAGCTTTTGAAAGAAATGGTGAATTCAGTTCGAAGTGGGAAATTAATATACAAATTAATTTATTAAATTGTCAGTACGACCCATTACCTAATAATTACACTGTCTTTTTCGTTTCAAATTAACATTTCGGTCAAGATTTGTGCTGGGCTGTTGCGAAACTTGTGCGGAAACCTCGACCAAAGGTTCGTCAGCGATCAATCGAGTGGTTTGAAAGAGAATTTTCGGCGATGGATGAAATGGAGTTTAGGGACTTGTCAGAAATTAGCAGGGGGGAGGGGGGTGGGAATTTTAAATTTGGGTTCGGAATTTAGGTGACCCATCCCTGCAATAGACGTGAAATTTGCTAACCCTCCCCTTGAGCTTACCCTAAAATAACATGACCCTCCCCACCTTACAGAATTGAACGAAAAATGTTCCAGGCTCTTAAATGTTCCAGGTGCTCTTAAAGTATTATATTCCAAGCCAACAAGAAAAAAAAAAGGAAACAAAACAAAATAAAACGAAAGCAAAAAAGCTAGGACAAAAAGAATGGAAGTAAACTGCAAAAGAGTTATTGAAACCATTGCACCTCAGCAAGAGTGGCATGATGTTACAGAGCCTATTGGTCCATTATCTCTTCATTATGAAGGAATAACTGGGCTCCTCAAAACACAAAGGCCATATATCCAATATGCCTTTGAGAAGGGATTGTTCACCAATGAATCACAGGAAATTATCAAGCAATATCTACGCTTCAACTTAAATGAAAATCATGATGATGATGAAAGTGATTGTATCAATGCTCATGACATAAATGATGATGATCAAGATGCTCACAGCAGCATTGATGGTGACGCTGAAGACAGTGATGAATAGGATAGCCGAAACTCTAATAACATTAATAACATTATTCATAATAAAAATGCAGGATAAAAATGCAATAAGACTCTATGGCATTGTTATAAATGAAAAGTAGATGTTTGTTTAATTCTTGGCATAGTACTTCACAGTCTAAATCCATAATGTTCCACTCTTCTTTTTTGTTCTTTTTTTTTATCAAATAAAGAACTTCTTTTTTCTTCTTTGTTTAATTTTCTACATGTTTTTGGGCATATTTTTGCATGTCCTTCTCTCTTTTCACGGTATTTTTTTCATTTCCCCGCCACTGAAGCGCGCGTCTATCGGCCGCGAAAGCCTGGGATATAATTGAAAAAAAAAAGCATGCGCAGCAATCGTTCACGGCTTCAGCAAGTTCGGGGTGCATTTATACAAACACTTTCACGTCCACGATAAGCCGCCGCTTGAGCTAGCCGTGGGCTGAATAAGCCGTGAACGTATAGATTTTGTACCATTCATGATACGGGGTGCTCGGGTCTTATGTTAACCGCAGCCAGAGTAGGCTGCGGCTTATTTTCTCTCGTATAAACGGCCCTAATTTTGAATACTTTTTGTCCTCGTAATTTCGAGAGTCAGTCTCGTGCATCGCTACTGAAAACTACAGAGATAGGAACAATTTATATGTTCACTTCTGTCACAGCCATCATTACTTAAACGCCTAGGTGATGAGTTTAAACAAGAATAACCGTTGGTTACAGCGACTGAAGTTTCGGCCGCCTGTGCGGTTGTCATGACCGGAGACAAAATGGCTTGGATAACAAAACATTGCGGCCCAATAGATTGAATTCTAGACGCGCGAGTGGTATTCTGCCTTCGGCACACCACGAACTGTTGGAACCAATCAATCCAACAGAGTATTTCATGTTGATAAACGCTTCTGACTGACCTAGCTCACTTAGAGTTTTCAGTTATGTTGTTTTGGAAGAAACTGGCGGGTTGTTAGTTGCGCATGATGAAGACTGAGAAACTGGGCGCTTCAGTCCTCGCGGAATTAAGATCAAAGTCCAAGCAAAGGACACTAGTCAAACTGACCTCTAGTCAGAATGAAAATGTGTTTTATCCTCAGCTATTGTTTTCTATATACTATTAGCAAAATTGGCCGGCAAAAAACCTAGAAAGTGTCAGTTTTTAGAAGGTGGCCACGTTTACCAAGTTTTCCGATAACGTCACACGATTTTCCCAAAAATTACGTCAAATACTGTCATACAACTAACTTCAGTCAAATGGCAGGAGAAACTCATTAAAAAGAGCCCTTCTCCTTTGTGTATGTTGTGGTTCAATTTCATCCTTGGTTTAAATTTTATTTTCTTTTGTTTTTGGGTATGGTACTGTATGATAATGATTTTGAAACAAAAGAAAATAAAATTTAAACCAAGGATAAATTTGAACCACAACATATACAACCCTTTCACTCAGTCTGAAGTAGAGTACCTTTACGAATAGCGGCGGTTGACTGGTATTAAAGCGTAGTTTTTCAATGATTCATCAGTGATCGATTTAGATTATAACCATCAGTGCCCTGTTCTTGCCGCCAGTTAGAATATCGTCCAAATATCCAAACCTCAGGATCTTTCCAGTTTTGTATTTTTGGTCAACCCTAAGCGTGTCATTCGTGCGTCACTAGTACAACGCATCTATTGTTACTTGTCAGTTTTAAGAATATCAGTAGTCGTTATCAGAAAAGGGAAAAAATATATATCAGCCTTTATATCACGAAAAGTTTGTTCGAGATTAAATTGTTTTAATCAAGATGTTATTAAAGTTAGAATGTGTGGAATCTAGCCGTCGGGCATGCTACTTATTGATTCTTTGAAGACATCTCCATTTAAGAGTTTAAAATCAGTCCACCTGTATGATCTGACTTTTTATCTGTGCCGGTATGAAGACCTCTCTTTGTCTCGATCATATTTAGCCTTAAATAGACAGTTTTGAGGGTGAAGATCATCAGTTAAGTATGTTCGCCTCACTGTAACCAAAACGAAGTTGCCGTATCGGTGGTGGCACTGACGTGCCCTTAGGACGTAGATATCTGAAACGTCTGAGGAATTATGAAACGGGACTTCCTATGACGCTTAGGACTGAGAAAGCTTCGATTAATCATATGACTCAGTTAGAAACAACTCATTGAAAGGACACAAATTAGCAGGAATATATAATGCCTATACATAGTCATATTCGTAAGTTTAAAATATAATATAAAACTATCATTTGACGAAGCCAAAAACTTCATCCCCAGACTCCAGGTAAAGCAGCACGTCTTTTAAAATGACTCAATTGCTTAAACGGAGGAGTCTTGTCGTCTTTTTTAGTGTTTCATACTTTTTTAAACACGATTTCCTGAAGGAAACAAGCAGTATTCGACTTTTTGATGAAGAAATGTTTTATGAAAAAGCAGTGGTCAATATTTTCTTAAAACCACAATTTATATGCATACAGAATACTTTTTGAGGTTTCCGACCGGGGCGGGCAGAAACAATAAAGGAATTTTGACCAATTTTTTTCCGTTCCAGTTGATTTAGTCATATATAGATCGGTATGACAAGCAGTTTAATAGGACCTTTAATTCGTCGCCGAAAAACTGACAGTTTATAATAAATCACTTAGTTTGTATGGCTCATGTATCATCTTTAGGGCAAAGCAGAAATACTTGGCCCATATAAGGTCTTTTAAAAGGAAACTTCATTGAACTAAATGTTGAAGTTTTATTTTAAAACTGAAATTAACTTCAATATCTTAAAAAATGTTTGGGTATCAGCAATTACATTTTGCATGGCTGAATCTGGCAAACGCGGTCTAATCGTGGTTCATCTAACTCAAGGGATCAGAGTTATAATGCAATGGTTTTAACGTGAAAGTTGATTGTTTTCTAACAAATCCTATGTAAACAACTTTCTACAATTCAAGACAAAGACTATTAAAGTTTTCGTGACTTTGCTCTAAATGCGTAGATCAATAATAAGACGTAATTAATTTATTCGATTTGGAAGCACTCATTAATAACATAACGCCTTCCCGTTTGAGACTATTATGATACGAAACGTGCGGTAAAGTGTGGTTCAAATTTAGAAAACCAATACAACTTTTCTTTAACTATTCCGCATGCTAAGGTAGTTTAAATTCCTAATGGTTTTTCATTGAGTTTTAATTTGAAAAATTGATAAATTTAGAGGGCGATCAAGCTAAGATTAAGTGTCATTTAATTACGCTGGGCGGCCATTTCAATGACAAAAGACTTTGTCTGACCACGGAGCTGCTTAACGACTTTCATTAAAAGAGCCCTAAACCAACCATTAATTTTTCGTGTGTCAGTTCACTGCTGTGGGCCGCATAGATGCGTCATGGAATAAACAATTAAAGATACTTATAATCTCTTAAGAAGCCCACGTCAGTAAATAATTAGGACCTACACTTTGCAATGATGACGAGGCACGCGACGAGCTGAAACCTGCCTTTACTTAGTTAATGTTGGAACATCGTTACGGAAATAATTTTAAACATCAGGATCTTAAATAGGTAACAAGCCCATGACCTATTTTTTGCAACTTTCCCTAATTGTACAGCTGAGGATGTTACAAACATTAAAGTCAAGATGCCAAAATTGACAAGAAATCAAGAGGCCTGGAAGTAAATGAGATTTTTCTAGTTAAATATCGGAAAAAAGCGAAAAGCGAACGCACAGTTCCACTTAGAGCTTTTGTTTTCAGCATTCAGAGCTGAATCACCCAATTAACTCATTCGAGGACTTGTGGTGTTAAATTGTGATATATCGTTATTTCACTAAACATTCCGTCAGTCTTAACGTACTTATTTTCCGCATAACCTTTCATCGGCACTAGTTTATCGATAGCACATAGGAATCTGAAACATTTTGAACATTTCGTTCAAGGAGACAGAACGTTCTCAATTTCTATTTACTAGCTAATGGAGAGAGTATTGCAAACTTTGTTTTCAACCCTCATTCTTCATTCTCGAAGCGTTTAACCTTCTGCGAAATGACTATGAACATTACAGTTTAATTGCCCCATGTTCACCTCTTCATCTTATCGCCAACACCTACCACTTATACTGACTCATTATGGTTTGAGAAAAGACGAGCGGGTTTCCCTCCTGGTAACTTACCGGCCATTTAAAGCCTAGTTATGCGTAACTGACATCTTGTGTAAAATAGTTAGTTAGTTTCAGGTGTGTTCCAGAAATATTAGAAACCGATAGTTAGTGGTAAAAAGATGTTGTATTTGCTTTGCCCAAAGCAACCAATAAGAGGTAAGGTCAGTCGCGACTGATATCATAATGGTTTAAAAAACGCGAAACTGAAAGTGTCGATAGAAATTAGTCTAACCATTTCTTCTCACTTAGTCTGCATTTTCTGCATTTATGTTTCTACGTTTTTTCAGTTTAATACTTTGTTGAACATACTATAATTATATTACGTCGTGGTTTCGGTTGCTAGGCCAGTCAATTCAGTAAGACAAGCCTGGACGAAAATTGATAAAAAATCTCAGCTATTGTAGGAACGGCTTGAACTTACTACAAAACTAGCGTTCCAGTATTTAATAATTTTCTCGTCAATTTGGTTTCATTTTCCAAATTTTTGTTAAATAATTGTTTGTTTCCTCGTCAATACTTGAACTAATATCATGAATACTGTATTACGTGCATTTCCTTTATACGGAAAAAATAGTATGTTTTCAACGTTCAGGAACATTTCTTAGTTGAAACATCCCAAGATGGATTACACTGTACAAGCTATTTTCAATTGCTATTTTCTCATCAGTAACTCAGAACCGTTTACGATAGCCTTTCCGAGCAAGTTGCCTTTCCCTATCTGGTCAATTTTCCGTCAATTTATTTTTATCATCCAACTGAGTTAAATTCCTTGACTGTATAAAAATAAAATATGTCAATTTTATATTCAATCTCCATCCGTTGCAATAAAAATTACTTACTCATCAAAAAGTTTGAATTGAGATTCCTCCGTTGTTTCAGTGCAAAATAAACACTTGAAAAAATTTTTGCGGTTAACTCCATCAATTTTCTTAATAATTCGGCATCTTTTCTGTCAATTTTGTGTAATAATCGTTAAATTTTCCATCATTGGTACATGGTCCGTATACAATTTGGATGAGAACACAGTTAACTTCTCCTCTGGTAAGTATAATGCAATTTAATTGCGTTAACAGTCATCCTACAAACACAATTGAAAACAAATCTGTTTTCTTGTTTTGGGTACTAGTTTTTAGCTTTCTATTATTGGGTTAACTTCTCCTTAAAATGTGCGAAACTTCCTTTAGTCCGGGTTTACTTGTTGTAAGTCTTTGCATGGCATGACGAACACGCCTTTGGTTTTTACATTCCGGTATTCTGGGTCCTTTATAGGTTTTCTACTTTGGTTTATGTGGAATAGGCATGAAATCCTTAACCTAGTAGAAAAACAGGAAATACTATTGTTTAATAACTCAATTTAAGAGATGTTAAATCCTGCAGTATTCTGTTTATTATACTGTGCAAGATTTTATCATTAATCTGTGTATGAAATCCTCCAGTCAGGGTGTGACCATTCAAATGGAAGTTACTGAGTAGAATTTTTCTGTGGAGCTGTTTATAATTCAGCCCGTTGACTCTAACTTGATTCAGTTATATAAATATCGAAATCCTAGAGAAGCCACGCCCGAATGAACGCTGATTCGTTTCTCTATATTTAACTATGACAATGCAAAATGGTTCGCTGTCAATGTGGCACACAAAAAAAATTCCCAAAATTCGACCATTATATAGAATAGATTAAACAGGTGCGATTGAAAGCTCTTAGTTTGGCTCAGCACGCAGTATAAGATGGTTTTGTTCATTACTTTCCTGGGGTGTTGTCTGGTTTTGCTACGCGAGGCTCAGTTCTAATCCATAGTATAAAACTACTGATAAGTAAAACTACTGCGGTGGTAGCTGCTGTTATTGCTACTACTACCGCCCTGTTTATTGCTGCTGCCACTACAAGGAAGGGCTCGCGGCGTTGCACACTTTAGTATGCAACTAAAAGTGGTACCAGGTTTTGATTTTGTGGCTTAAAAACCTCAGTGCTTCTTCCTCGGAAGGTGCTGGTAAGCTTCATCATAGAGGATTATCCGCTTCGATAAAAAATGAGGCGCGCATCATTGTAGAGTACTTTTCAATACTCTTTCAGTTTTCATAGCACTTTTCATATTAAAATGAGGGATTCAAACTCAGTTTTGTCTCATAGGAAACTGAAAAATGAATCTTATAACTTGTCAGCTTGTCCTACAAAACTGGCAACACCCAAACACTTGAACTTCTGTTAAAAACTTGAAGGTGACATGGCCGAGAAACTAACCCATATAAGAAGGATCTGCTCAGTGGCAGGACAAGTGAAAGCTTGACGAGCGAAAATATTGAGTTATGTAACAAGTGCAACAATACTTGATTTTAACGGGAAAGGTACTTAAAAATTCTGAGTCTTTAGACCTGAGAGATGTTAGATACTCTTTACTTATTATCGACTGCAGCATCCTCTGCTTTGTAACTCTCTCAGTACCAGAGTGAGAATAGTAGGCTAAGGCCCTTACACCGGAAACTTGCGTTAAGTATTTACGCAATTTTGGAATTATTTGGAAGTGACAGGGATGCCAAAAATTGAACTTACTTGGTTCGAAACTCGAGACGAGTTAAACTGAAAGTTGAAGGATAAGTAGAAAACAAGCCAGGTTGCTGGCGTGCAAATGCCAGTTTCATTCACCGGATTCACAACAAAAGGGTATACTAAATGTAACTGAATGAATCTTTTCCAAGCGCTTTTGCACTGAAAGAGAAAAGCGTTTTTCAGTTAATCGACAATACGCAAATATTTGCTTTTGGTTGTGTGGGCTCTCAAGGATGATTTGTTTAGTTACGTTTAGTTTCCACTCATTTATGAAACATTTCTAAACTTGGGCAAAATTTAAGACTTATCCTTTTCTTATGCTGCAAAAGATGATCACTAGATGATAAAAACCCGCCACGACAATGATTTTCCAATGTTCAAAACTTTCGTCTCAAAAGCACCCCAAATAGACAACTTTGTGTTGATATTGCGACTTACGTTTGTTTACCTCTGATCTATCTTTGAAATGTACTTACTATAAATCGAATGCGTGCCACGAGAAAATTTGTCTTAGAAGAAACTGTTCCGAATCTTTTTTCTTTCAAATTATTCTCTACCCTCATTTAATAGAGTTCCTCGAAATGACTCATGTTGCGTTTTTGTGTTTTATTATATTTACTTAATATTTTTTTAATGATCAAATCCTTCATGTATACCTAAATTCCGTTTTTGGGCCTAAACGATAACGACGTAAATGTGCAGTTTTCCAGGTTCGTTCTTATTAGCAATCAATAAAATTAAAATATTGTTTTGATCGTGCCACATAATTCTCTCTAAACCGAACGATAACCTTAAGCCCCAAACACAATACTGTAAATACAATACGCTGAGGCATCCATATATTACCTTCCTTTATATTGATGTTTGCCTTTAGTTCATTATTTATTACTCTTGGCCACTTAGTTTATGCTCCACCATGAGCTAAACGTCAAATATCAAGTACCATATTAAGTGATGTTGTTACTCGCGACACGATCACTATTTCAGTCCAGCCTTACATAACTCTGCAGCTCGAAAAATAGCTCAGTTTGACGTTTAAGACTTTACGTGAGGTGGGTAGTAAGTCAAGGAAACAGAACTGTTCTAGCGCGTTGATAAGGTCTTGACCACTCAGGAAACGCGTGAGTTGTGGGTAAGTAGTTTATGATGTTTGGTAAAAATTAGGCGCCATTCCGGATAGTTTCTTTTGTTTTACTATACAATAGTTTAAGTTTGCTCGCGGCAGTGGCTGTAATCCCCGTTAAGTAGAGATGCAATATTTTTCTCTCTAGGTGTAAGAATGTATTGACAAGATACAATAAACACAACTTCTAAAAAGAAGACCACATAAAAGGCTCCTTGAATTTTCAAAAAGCAGTAATGGTTTGTTCTTTTAAAAGACAAGGATTCGTGCGTGGCAATCTGCGTTCGAGCTTCAAGGACCTACACAACTGACGCAAACGAAACTTGGTTTTAAATAGTTTTTAAATAGGTCATTAACCAACTAAGGAATATGTGAAGTAAAACTGTACTATACTTCAGTTTCGACAAAGATAAACAACTAACTTGCCCAAGGCTATAATTAATTAGTTATCTTTGAAATATTCCAGTGGACTCCTTTATACGTATTCATTTAATTTGCAAAGCAATTGTTTGCTGCACATAACAGATTGTTCTTTAATTAGAAAGTTACGAATACATTAGTGCTTCTAAACACCTCCCAGAACAAAGAGCGAAAAGGGGCTTAGAAATTGTGCAATACTGCGAAGAATAACCCTTTTGTGCTTTCGCAGCTTGAAATTAAAAGTATGATAAACATTTCGCGGATATAATGAAAGCAGCAGTTAGTTCATGGTTTCCAGTGGGGCTATAGCGTGCTGCGATTTACTCACTTCCACAATCAACGAGACTGTTTCATTCCTCATACAGGATACATGCCAATTTTAATCGCGCGATGTTTAACACTCATCACGTATTCTCGAGGCAAATTGGCTGCGACCGAAATTTAATTAATTTATTAACCCTATTGCCTTAGTGAAACAACAAGAGAGGTGTTAATATATCCATGGATACAGAGACAGTTTAATAATCTTCATTGAACGTTAATTGTATTATGGAGTTCTTTTAATCACCACCCAGCGGTCAAAGACGACGGCTTTTGAGATTTTAAGTCCATAAATCTGGCCGAACGATCGCGGTATTCAAATTCCGGAGCCACGCACTTTCGCCATCATGGCGTCAATTTTACCTACGGCACTCATGAGCTATTAACATGTAATAAAAAGAATTAAGACAACGAGGCGATGACACAAATACATTTTATCAACTTCCTGGGAGGAATAGTGTTAAGAGGGGACCATGGGGGCGAGAGGAACAAACAAACTTAAGTATTATATTGTTAATATCGCCTTAATCACAACGCGCGCCCCTGATTGGCTGAGCGCAATAGCCTATTTATTTTGAGGCCTTTGTTTGAACAAATAAACACTGATTAAAACTATGACAGTCGGTCATTTTGATTAACTAACAAAGGACGAAGATTAGGGGCAAATATAAAATCTGCATTAATCTAAATTTTCTTTTCAAATAAAAATTGCTGAAGACGAGGCAAGTTCTTATCGAGGACAAACAGCAAAGCTGGTCTTCAGAGAGAGTAATTGTTGTGGATGTTAATGATGGAAGGAGTGCGACCAACCATGGTGTTTTCAGAGAAGAGGGAAAAAAGCGAAAGGCATGGAGCAGATCACTCGATAGAGTCTGCTTTGATTAACGCATCGAGTAAAGGCTACACGATTGATATGATTCTAGGAACTCACGATCGAAAACCCAAGCAGGAAAGCAATCTTGAAGATGACGGCAAATTTTCTGGAAATCCAAGCGACGATGAAGGTACAGTAATTAAATAAACCATTAACTCGTTCGGTCTCAAAATTGATAGCACAATCTTATTAAAACATTCGATATAGTTTACTCAAGGAATTTCAATGCGTAATTCTACCTTTTAAAATGAACGCTCCGTAAACATAGCGAAGAGCTACAGATGAGGTGCTAATTTCGTGTTTAAACTTCGATTCCTTTATTTTTCTTTCATTAAACACAGGAAGAAATGTTTGCTTCTGTCTCTCGTTAGGCCTTTAAGTATCATTTTCGCGGTCAGACTTCTGCTAACTGTTAGGATAAAATATTTGTATAGTGAGTTTATTTGTGTTTCTCTCGCCCAATATGATTGTAAATTGACGCGCATGTGGCACTGAAATAAGCGCGACCTCTCGCGTCTTGTAAACTAAGTCAAATACAGAGTAACTCGCTCGTCAGTTGCCCACTTAACTTTCATTATTTAACAGACGATTTAAGTATTGGCGACGAGAAAGGGTGCAAAGATGGGGACGACATTGATGAGAGCGATGGCAAACCTAGAAAAATGAGACGGAGTCGAACCACCTTTACAACCTATCAGCTGCATCAATTGGAGCGAGCGTTCGAGAAGACTCAATACCCAGACGTGTTCGCTAGGGAGGAGCTAGCTTTACGGCTAGATTTGAGTGAAGCAAGAGTACAAGTGAGTACATTTTCATATCATTCATCGGTGGTCATTTTTTGTATTTAAGGGTAGGTTAAAAATAGTTTTCAAGGTGAAGCCTGGAGTCAGTATTAATGGGCACAGACTACAGTCGGAACTTGGTTCATGGGCAAGTGTTAATGCCCACATCAAATGCGAACACCATACGAATAGACCGCTCCACTGCCGGGCTCGAGATTCTCTCTTCTCTTCACCAACTGAGAAGTTCATTTCGTTCTCTCATCCGGTGACTTGCTGGAATCGCGTGTTTAAGCAGAATGGAGGAAAAACGTAACTCCAGGCTGCGGAAATTATCTTTTGCCTTTTGCATCAGCGTATAGAATGGTTGCGTGGCGCCCGAATCTTCATTTCCGAGAATGCAGCAATATTTAAACTTAGTTTGCGATTCAATAGTTGTGATACAGTCAGGGTTCCTTTGTTTTATCAATTATATTGGTGAAAACAAGCCAGTCGCATAACAGTTTCTTGTCTTTATCAATATTTTAGAGATTTGTAAAGTAATATTTTTTAATTAATTAAATAAGAAGTGTTTTTGATGTTTGCATTAGTTCTTTCGTTTGTTATATAAAAACGCGCGTGCGAATTGTTAAAACGAAAACTACCCTTCGATTTTCAGGGCTCATTCCTTATAAAGCCAGTGGTCAGAATAACTGGCGGGAGTGCTTTTTAGAGAGAGGAAATCAATTCTTTGAGTTGCTAGTATAAATAAGAAAAATTACCAGCTGAATAACTATTAATGGGGATAAAAAAAAGTACACGCGGTGTTCGGTAACGCCCGAAGTTGAGTGCCTGTCATTACAACCTGCCAACAAACGAAATATACCAAGAAAGTGAAAAATCGTTCTACACGACCCAAAAGTGATATAACTAGTCCGTTTCGGCTCAAAGTGGCGCTGTTTCAAAATGAACAAGACAACAGAATCTTACAAGCTTTTGTTGTGATACTTTTTATGTTGTGTAATTAAATCTCGGAAGGTTTTGTTAAATTTCAAAGATTTTAAAATTTACATTCAACTGTCGGCGTGTAAATGCGTAGCATTGATTTCTTTTAATAAATAAACTTCCTTTGAAACGCAGACTTCAAATTCAAGTCATTAATATGCTGAAAGAAAATGTTTTACCGGATCTTAATGATGGAGTTTGGACGGCGGCGTTGCGTTTCTTTCGTAATATCATTTCGAATTCATATTTTGTGCTGACGAATTGCTATTAACCACTGTAAATTGCATTTTAAGTGAATATGTATACAAAGAAATCACAATTGAGGCAATTATTTCGCTGTATTAATGGGTTATATTGCACAGCCTTGAAAACAAAGTGGATAATTAAACATGACGTCGATACTAGAATTGGCAATTAGCACAGGACCTTTTGAAAAGTCAGAGGATCTTTACAACTATTTCAATGGGGCAAGGCTTTCATAAATAACGCTTGCCCGAGGGGTTTAGGCTGGCAAATTGAAAAAGTTAATTAAGAATAACCTTTGCTTTGTAAGCTTTGCGATGTCTTCATGAGAAACAAGCGACATGTTAATAGTAATAATTATAACTATATTGAAAAGCTCAGATGAAACAAGAGAAGAGAACGCACATTACATAGATGCCGTGCGCAAGAATAAAAATCAGGAAAAACCTCATGGTATCCATTTCCTTTTCAGACACTCAACATTTGAAATTCTTTCGCGTGTATTTATAACTAAGCATGACTCGGTGCATTCTTTTTATTGAAGTTCCGTCGAGGTTCAATGAAATCGGTCAAGTACCATTATCCAAGTTATCCATCTTATTTTTTTTTTATATAAAAGACATTACTTGAGAGCGTCTTTCAGCTAAGACTGATTGATCAAGACAACGCAAAATATAAACACCTATAGTTTGGTTAACAAAGAGTGAAAAAGAAAGATGCATTGTTTAAATTTTGTGTTGTATAGATGAAGATGACGATGAAAAATAATGCCAAAATAGACGGTTTAAATTTGATTTTTTGATAAGGAAGTGATTTCATTTTTGAAGATACCTTTCGAAATTATCCTTTAAATTTGTTAATTTTATTTTTTTACGATGGCAGCCAGTTACGTTCTAAAGTACACTTAGACATACAATCCGGTAAACTTTAGCCTATCAATAAACCTAATAAGTTTTAAAAATGACGCAATTTCTTTACGCCGGCCATTGTGTTCCCCTTAAAATATATTTAGCGCGTCAGTTATGTTTGCTTCTCCCATCTTATTAACGAGATTCAGTAAACGGCTTACCAAAAGAGTTACTCGAGTTTGCGTGTCGTAGAAGGTTAATTTGTATGCAGAAATCACACGTATAGTCAGTTTGCCGGAAGGCAAAAAGTAATCAGACAAAGTCCAACATCGTGCGTTTCATTCAATAGTTTAACGCTCTTTCGTAGAAATACTTAATGTATCACTTTCAAGCTAGAGTTTTCTCCGTTGATAAGACCACAGTGAATTAGTTGTGAAAACAATCTCGTTATCTCAACAGGCCACTCCTAGTTTAGACATAAAATAAAAACGACATGAAAACTATTATCAGGAAATGAAGTACTTAATGAAACTCCAAAATATTGATTCCACCTCAAGCTAAAAGCCCCATAGCATAAGTTAGAGATAAGACAGATAATTAGGTGGACCAAATTCGTCTAATTATAGAGTTTATCGGCGAGATGATCTGATTTTCCGTTGTGCCTCTTTCATTTGTAACGCATTTTATTTTCTCTACTCGACTTGCCCCAAGTTTATTACTTGGCCTATTTAAGCGTTAATTAAGTTTTTTGCAAGTTGTGCCTCTTTTTTCAGCGAAAATCCAATGCGCTAAACTATAAAACTTTCACAAAAATGATGAAAGTATAAGTGAATTATGAATAAGATAAAAATCAATGGCAATACAGCTCATTCTCACCCATTTTACATTTCTCACAATCAAGCTTTCACGGCTGTGTATTTATCAACGCTATGAATCTTCCTCTGTATCAGACACGCGATAAAATTGTTTTATAATGTGTACTTATCAAAATCATTACAATATTTCAATTAGAGGTTTTTTCCACATACAGATATAATTGATACTTGGACGGAAGGAGGACTTCTTTTAACAATTGCAAGAATTCTATGGTTGTTGTTTTTTACATATTCTAAACTGGAGAATGAAATCTTCACCTTACCGGGAAAAATCACGTTAACACAACTTTTAACAAACTGTGGGAGAGGAGTATTAATAGTAGTTAAGTTTAGAATGTCACCATTCGATTTTTTCCCTTTTTAATTTTCTTGCAAGCGGGAATTGTGAGCTAATCAAGAAATAGGAAAAATAGGAGATTTTAAAATGTTCCGCAAGTCACAGAGATCCTCAAAAAAAAAAATCGATTCTCGCATAATTTGTAAACTATAATAGATTCTGACCGCGCTGTTATGTTTTTGTAAGTTGTTAATTTTGTAATTGTTAAACAAGTTACTCAGAAACGTTTTAAAAAAAATAAAGCAGAATAAAGTATTTGACAACGTAATGTATGATGACAAAAGGAAACACGTATGTCGACCTAAAGCTGTCTCCAGAAAGTTAGAAATCACAGTTGAATGCAATCTACAAGAAACAAGAGTACATCATTCAATTATAATGTCTTTCATTACCAACGGCCAATTAATTATGACATAAAAACATCTAACGCGGCTATAACTTCTGATTTAATAAACAAAATCTATGATGAGACCGTACCTTTCAAAAGAAATCACTAAACGAATACAGGCTTTTCCATGCTGCTATAAAAATGTTTCTGCTTTATTCAAAATAAAATTGGGTATTTTAAACTATCTCAGTTTTGCTTTCACCGGAGTAAAGAGTAAAAGGGGTTTCTGATTAAGAGGTGAAAAGAGGGGGTAGTTAAGAGAGTGGACTTTTGCTGGTCAATATAACGTTTTCCTTTGCCACAAAACCGTGTAAATGGCGACATCGCGTTTACCTGTATTTTCTAAGACCTGTTTTAAATTAGTTTTGTTGGGTGTATTATTCGCGTGTTTTTATACATGTGGTTCCACCTCTACAATACACGTGCCGTAAGCATGGTTATACCTAAACACGCGGCTTTGCGGTTCTTTGTCTTCTCTAAGCGACATATTTTTTTATATGCCGGATACCTGCACCATTCGCAAAGAAAAAGTAAAATGCGGTAACGATGATCGCATTAGTGTAACGATCTTTGACTGGCCTTTCTTCAGATCAAGAACAGTTCATTTAATAGTACAAATGTCCGTCATCTCGAGCATCGCTTTCCAATCTCCATCCAGTTTCGATCCTAAACTGCAAGCGTTGCATACAATTACAGTAATTTGAAAAAAGTCCTTAATTCAAGCAACTTAATATACAGAATAAGTCTTTAAAGTAAAAAAAGAATAGGCATCAATTTCTTTATATTCAACTAATGGCACATGAAGCGTTTTTTATCCGTTAGAGCACATTCCTCTGCGGAATACCTTGAATTCGCAGCTACTTTAACAAAGAGTATAATAAGTATAATAGTTCTGAAAAGGCTTTGTTGAACAGCGTTAAAGCAAAAACGCGGCATGGGTCGTGTGTATTGTTTTCAGCAGCTGCTGAACACAAGCCTATAGTATTTACCATTGAGAGTGGCTTTAATGGCCTTAATGGCTATCATTTAAGGCTACCAGTTTAAAATGATTGCTGTTAATTGGTTGGACGACACTTTCCAACGCTTGGCTTTCGTTTGAAATTTGGTTTGGGCCTTTGTACGTAATTCACGGCACTGGACATCTAGAGCAATCGGTCCTCGAAAAGGAACAATTAAGCTGGACCTAGGAGGGAAAAATATAAACTGATTTAAGAGAAAAATGCCTACCACCATTGAAAATGTTCATCTATTGCTGGTTCAAAAGGATTAGTGGCAATTACTGTGGCCCCAAAGTTTCTCTCAACCACTCACAATACAATCCCCGTACTAAAAACAAAACAATGCGAGAAGTAACTAGGCCCTTCACGACACTAGCATATATGACGGCTCGTTCGTTGCTGTGGTTGTGGTTGTTGTTTGTGACGCTGACGATGATGATGATGATGATGATGATGATTTGTTGTGTGCTCAGTGCTTTTTAAAAAACAATATTACTAATGATAACTTTTTGTATATCGTTCTTTTTCAGGTATGGTTCCAAAACAGGAGGGCTAAGTGGAGAAAAAGAGAAAAGTCCATCGGACGTGAAAGCCCGACATACCTTTACGGACCATCAAACGATTACAGAGCACTTCAAGATATGCCACACGTACACGCCGGCGCACATCCCTACCCCCCCGGAGTGGAAAGATGGCACCCACATGTGCCTGCTCTAAGCCTTTTGTCTCCTTACGCAACTGCTCCAAATCCGTACGGTCCCCTAGGGGCCCACCTCAGTGTCGCTGGAATCTCACCGGCAGCAATGTACACGCACCATCTTTACAGACAGTACGCACGCCCAGCAATGACTCCATATTTGAAGAGCCCGCTCACTCCTTCGGACTCGCACGAATTTCGTCGGTCAAGTATTGAGAATTTAAGATACAAAGCGAAGCAACATAGTTCTTCTCACACAATGGCGGATGCAGGCAAGACGGCTTAGCTCGCATTTAAAAACACCTTAGGTAGAAAGAACAAAATTAAATTTGTTGAATATTTTAGCCTTGTTGGTGAAACAAAGGTTTCGAGTAAATTAGTTTAGAGCTCAGTACTCTAAGCTTGGTTTTCAGTGTGAAATTATTATTTTTGGTCAATGCCGTTTTTTGATCAACATAATAACAATTTTTAGGCATGTTTGTATTTTTTTCGGTCACTATCAACGCTTATTGTGCTTCTCGAAACATCAACTTGTCGGCCTGTAAGGTCATGATAATTACTAGACATACATTTGTACCCAGTCGTAATATCTCACTTCGAAAATAGAGTGAACAAGAGTTGAAATAAGTTTGTACATAGTAATAAGCCTGACAAATGCACCCTTCGTTAAGAGATGGTTGCCGTAATTTATTACTAAATGCGTGCTTTTTGTACCAATGAGGAATTGAAAATATATTTAACAGAAATATTTCTTATTTATAAACGTGGCCATGTGTGGCACGAGTTAGTAGCAACACTAGTGACAAATCGTATCTTAGATCCCTTACATTACCTGAGAGGTAGAAGTGAACGCAAGGAAAAGCAACTGTAGTGCTAGTAGATACCAACCGGGTATCATTCTAAATTGTATTTGAATAAGCTTTGAAGCGCATTCAGATAACATGTAGAGGTTTTCCGTGCTCATTCCAAAGGCTTCTTGTCACTTGGTCAGTGAAAGAAAGAGCTTTGGGGACGAGAATGCACGTTTTTCATCCTGTTTGACAAAACTACATTTTCCTTAATTTCGTTCAGCGCTAAATTAAATAAACTGACAGCAGTATTCAGCTTTGACCATTACCACTGACGTGGATAGTTTTTTTTTTTCTGGCGTCGAAAGACTGACTTGGGTGCAGTGTATTCAGGAAAAAGCGGCTGTGAAAACCACAGTAGAAATTATGATTAGTTAAGGAAAGGAATTACAAATAAACTTCAGTTCAAAATCACAGTCATTGTTGTACTTCTTTATAAGAGCTACATTAAAAATAAAACATGCTGATACCTTACAAACAGTTTCAAAAGGGTTTCTATCTTGGAAATAAAGGGGGGTACCCTGTCTAAATTCAGTCGTAGCTAAGTTTTGTCAGATATTTCGGACCCAGCCCCTTAAGTGTGATTGCCTTCAAGAGGAGCACATATAAGAAAGCAATTTTCAATGCAAAGCAGTTCTTGCGGCCCTGATGTCGGTTCGGCGTATCGAATCAAGATGCACGTGATGTATTGGTGTTATATAAGTCCAAACATTCTTACGAAAGACTTAGTGTAAAAGCAACACCAGCTCTAGTAATACCGATCTGAAATTTGCTAGACCTCTAAAACTCTCGAGCTAAACGTAACTGATGGTATAGTAATTAAAAGTTGGCGACGACTGTATTCCAGCTCACTTGATCGCGACCCTCCCCTAAGACTTTCGCTAAGAGTGTACCGTAACCCCTAACACTCACTTAGTTACAAACAAAGGGAGATCGGGGCAATGCCATATCGAGGAAAAATTACTTGGGCGGGGACCACTCAACATGATTTCTTTACTCCGTCTCTTGCGAAGGAAGAGATGTATGACCTCATTTCCACAAGGATAGAGTCTACATGCTACAGCTCAGAAGGGGGAAGGACACATTGCGGCCATCCTTTGAGTTTTTAAGTAATAAAGTAATATTGACCGACAGCGATTTTAGGCACATGGAACTGCAGGAAGGAAAAGTTTGTAATCTTATCAAGCATTCTTTAGGTTTCTCAAACGACTTTTTCGTCGGAGAATACTCTAGGAATCAAAGTAGGCGACGAAGACACCATGTTGTAAATCCTTAATGCCTGTATCCGATCGCGATCGCTAATCGTTACTGCTCGAGTTCCAGATCTAAAGATCACTGTAGAGAAAGAGAGGAAAAACCCAGCGGATGATTTTTAAGAGAGGACCGCGGGAAGATTGTCGAAAAATTAAGGGATAAATTTGGGCGTGGTTATAGCTTTATTACGCTAAAAAATACTACTCTGAAAAAGACAGCCAAATGGTAATAATCGAATACTTTCTTTTCCTCTTTTATCCTGACATCTTTATTCCCCCTTCCCCCCGCCACCACCACCACCAACACCAACACGGATCGATTGATTTTTACAAAATTTTATCAAAATGTCCGTTTAAAAGGTACGAAAATCCAGACGTTTCGAGGGTGCTCCCTCTTCCTCAGTGGCGGTTTTTAGGCAACCAAATTTGCTTGGCTATGGGGCTACAAGCGTGGAGCTCCGCTACAACTGATGCGAAAATGAAGCTAATTAGTTGCCTTAGTAACTCTCACAGCTTCCTTCCACGCCTTGCACAACAGAAAGTTGAGCCGCCTTCTTGACTCGGACGAAGGTCTGTTCAAGAAATGGAAGTAACCGGTACTCGAGCTACAATAGGCTCTGACGCTTAGAAGAATGTAAGTATAAGAAACATCAGACTGTTGTCAATCCTCAATACAAAATCTACGCAATTTGGTTGGTTTAAACCACTGAGGAAGAAGGAGCACCCTCGAAACGTCTGGATTTTTGTACCTTTTGAACGCCCATTTTGATAAACTTTGTAAAAATCAATGCGACGATGGGCATGCGCCCTTCTTTCATGGGAGTTCCCAGGGGCGGATCTAGGGGGAGGGTGCAGGGGGTGCGCACTCCCCCCTCCCTGACATGACCTGCGGTTTTCTAATACAACTGGTATTCTGCCAAAAAAAAAAACTATGTGGTTTAATGGTGTTGAAATAGAGCAAGAGACGAGTGCACCCCCTCCTAAAATAAATCCTGGATCCGCCCCTGGTTCCCCTGTCGGGAGGAAAACTACCTGTGAACTGTACACGTTCCTAAGGCTAGATGTTTTACCATTTTGCAGTTCTACCAGGGGCACCCAACTACGGCTTCTTCCTAAGTACATTGAAAACGCTTTTTAGGCTCTCCAGAGTTATTTCAGATCTCTAGAAATACATTTTAAGCGGCGCTATAAAATTTGTATCTGTTCGGTCATCCTAGCAAGCACTTCAGTATTATTATCTCAAAAATTTCAGATGCAATTTAAAGTTTTACGAAAGTGAGAATTTTTCTCATTCCCTTCTCCGTCAAATTTTCGAATCCGAAAATTTTAGGTTTCCTTTTCCTATGAAAAATAGCTTAGCCTGGGGAGTAAAATGTGAACGATTAAACCTCAGATGGAATTTGTAAGATAAGCTTCGAAACTTGTACATGAATGGAATGGTCGCCTAGGACCGTTTTTAGCCGTCCTCAAGAAAAAGAAAATTATAGGTAGTATTTTCTTCTCCGAACAGGTATTTTACAGAAAACAGTCGTTGGGTGCCCCTGTTTTACACTGTAATCATAAAAACTAGACGCGTAAAACGCTCATGCACGCTCCTCTGCTTATCAAATCTATGGTTGCTGTGTCATTCTGAGTCGTTTTTGACTCCCTATTTGCTAGTTTATCCGATCAGAGAAAATACAATATTCTATCGGTATTCATAAGTCCTTGGCGTTACTGCCAAAGGTCTCTTTGCTGCAGGGAAAGTGCGTGTACGGATAAATTGAAAGTAGGATTGGACCCTTACTATTTCAGGAGAGTTTGAAAGGGGGTACCTCGATAACACTTAACACTTCATTTTTTGACTCTGTAACATGAAACAGTAAAATTTTGGGCATTTTAAAACTAACAGTAAAGAATTCTTTGAAACAGTAATTTTTTTCCAGAAAGTAGCAAAAAAGGAAGGCTCCAAAAAGGCCAATATTATTTTGTTTAGTATATCAAGGAGTTTTCGGCCATTTTACGACAATTCTGGATTATTTCAGAAGATTTCCGAAGGCTACCGACGATTCCCGAAGACTAACGAAGAGGTCCGACCATTGCCGAAGATGTCCGAAGAACCCTCCAAACACTTAACGTTCAATAGTAATTGTGAATGACAAAATCACAGATTCGTATTAAACAAATTTGTTTTCCAGGAAATATTTCAAACGTAAGAAACAACAAAAATGAACTTTGAAATACTGTAAGGGTAACAAGTTTTCAAAAACCACAATTGCAATCCGCTTCAATCTTCGTCAAGTTTGTCCATCCGTACCTCCCTTTGTATCTGCTGTGTTATATAACTTCTTCAACCCTTTAAGCCCTAAGAGTGATGAGCATCAAATTTCTCCTTAATATCACTGCTTTATAAAACAGAGTGGTCATGAGAATTAAGGACATGATCACACAAGATGAATCTAATTGATACTTCAACAAATTATCCCCGCTACTTCTATTGAAAACGTATAGAGATAAGTAATGAGAATTTGAATTTTGATGTTAGGGTTTAAAGGGTTAATTTAAGATTTTGAGCGGTCATTTTTATGCTTTACCCAATTTTGTGGAAGTTCCCGCTTTTGACAAATTTCGCCCAAAGCTCCTTAAACTCACTCAAAGCATGATATACTTAGAGTTTTGTCTTTTTGTTAAGGCCTAGCGACAAGACGTATTCTTATAATCCTTTCTCATTCTTTTATAGAACAACCATGCATAGGGGAAAAGAACCGGAGACTGTCATCTTTTAATGACGGCAAAATAATTTCCGGTGTGTCAGTGCTTCTGTCGTATTGGTTGAGCGGCTCTCTTGCTGGACTGAATATCAGGAGTTTTTTTTTATTAAGAACCGAATATCGCTCGTCACGACTTACACAGCGCTATGTGCTAACCTTCAACTGATTAAATAAGCGGTTGAAATAGATCCAGACGAATTTTTAAAACTTCTCCTCCACATCAAAAACATTCTCTCGCTATTACAGCCCTGCACCAGATGTAATTTTGCCTGGGCCAAACCTAATTAGTTTGTTTTGTTTTGTTTTTTTTTTGCGTGAGACCCTGTTTTTAATCAGAAAAGATATAACTACATATAGTGCCTTTTTTTAATAATTAGCACCCCCAAAATATAATTGGAGAAGTTTTTAACAGTCATAAGTAGATTGAGTAATAGTCTTGGTGACTGGGAGGATAATTTACATAACAATCCTTAAGTGTATTTTAAACACATATTAAAAACACAAGAGAGACATGTCACGCGAAATTTTATAAGTTTTCCAAGCCACATGTACAGGGTGGGGAGTTAGAATAGATTGACAATAGTTAAAGTGCCCGGTATAATTTCCATTAGGATAACAATGGTTTTTCGTTGAAAGTTACTAAACAAACCGGGAATAACCTACTGGCATACTTGTAGAACACTATAAAGTCGTTAAATAAAAGATATCTAAAAATAATGAGTCTTATAGTGGTCTTATTAACCTATTTTCTACTTGAAATAACCACTTAACTACTGCTTGACGTATGTCAATGACATGCCTCCCCTGCGCGGCAGTCTTTTAAGATCAGTCTAAAAATAATAAGTCAAATAAAACACTTATTAACCTTTCTGCTTCTTAAACTAACGAGCAAACTATGACGTTTTATTTACTTAATGGTATGCTCATTCTTGCCCCACGCAGTTCGTTCTACGATATCTAAAAATGATGAGTCAGATACTTTGCTTATTAACTAGTATTTGCTTCTCGAACTAATGACGCCTCCCCGGCGACCGTGCAGTTATAATATTTATTACCCGAGGCAAAGAGCCTTTTGGCTTACTTTGAACGGTAATCATAGTCCAATATAATTTGGTTATTATGGGCATTTTATTTGCGACAATATTAGCAACACGACAGTCACGGAAAAAATATTCCTCTTCCGTAAAAGTATGCCGAAGCGTTTAACTACATTTTAAATTGTTAATTTTCGCTTATTTTCTAGAATCGTGCTCTCTTTTTAACGAAATTGTGTTTGATTTGCTTACTGTTTCTACTGCTTTACGTATATTTTACCGATTTGTTGATTA